CCCGTCGTCCGAAGGGCGCTCCCGCTCCAGCTCCTCTTTGTGCAACCTCATCTGCTTCAATATATTGGCGCGGTCCTTCTGGCGGGCCACCACAAACTCTGTGTATCTCGGGGCGGCGGCAGAGCCCGATGCACCTGTGGGCCCGCCGACGGCATCCTCGAGACCGGAAAAGTCTGGATGCCGTGGATTGCGCTGCACTGCCATCTCGATCTGGATGACCCGCCTGACCAGTGCCTCCATGCAGTGGAGGTTCTTCACATTGAGCTGGTCCATGCAGATCGCACGGCGGGCAATCTCCAGGAGCGAACGATGCTCGTGGCATTGGGCACCCCCTGAGAAGACCCCGCTCATGCGCTCCCACTCGGCCTGGTAGCTCGTGAGGTTCCCGCTGCCGACGGCCACCGACGTGACGAACTCGCCCATCGCGCGCGGCCCTAAGTCGGTGTAGTCGGCGAGCTCCACCTCCTCCATCTGCTCCACGGCGTCACGGAAGTCCACGTCCCTGCGGCCGATCTTCGACCGCTGGTCGCCGTTCAGGCGGATGTCGACGCAGCTCTCCTTGCGCTCCTTCATCCAGTCATCCCTCTCGTCGCGAGTGATCAGCTCGATCATCCGCTCCTGCCCGTCCAGCATCACGATGCCCTTCCTTCGCAGATGGGCACAACGATTCGGGTCCTCCACCACGTCAGCAGGCACCACCTCGCCGAACCTCGCGTCCCGCGGCTCGGCGAGCACCCAAGCGAGGTCCGCCTCATCCTCGGCGTCGCCAGCCCCCAGCAGCGCCGCGCGCTGCCGGGCTTGGCGCTTCAGCTCAAGCAGCTCCCCGTGGTCGATGGGGTCGAAAGCATAGAGCCCAGCCAGCACCCACCGAGGAAACTGCGCATTCCGATCGAGGACATAGTGGCGCAGCTCGTTCAAGTTGTGCTGCGTGATCTCCATATCTGGCGTCAAGCACATCCAGCGCCCGTCGCCCATGGCGTGCAGAAGAATCCGATGATGCCACGGCAAAGCATCCAGAGGGAAATTCACGACGATCTGCGGCTCCCGTATGTCAAGCGAGCGCGGCCTGGCCGCCATCTCTCCTCGATGCTGGCGTCACCACCAGCGCCCTCGCTGTCTCTGGTCCCGCGGCAGGCTCCACCACGTGAGCGTCACGCAGAGCCCCGGGTGAACACACAGATGCACTCGACCCGCGAGCCGCGAGTCGGCCAACGTACAGTCCGACGGCAGCCCCGAGCACCAGGCCCGCCAGCGCGCACCCCGTGGCCACGCCCGCGCCCAGCAGCAGCAGCCAGCTGCCAGCCTCGGGCTTGGGGCACGTGCACTCACAGTGCGCGGCCGGGCAGGCCGGGAGCGGAGGCCCCGACGAGCACACCAGCTCGGGGCACGCAGGGATCGCAGGAAGGCTCGGACACTGGGCGGCGATCGCCGCGGTCTGGTAATGAAGGCCAAGGGTGGTGAGGTCCCTGGCGGCCGCGAGGACGACTGGCGCCCACCCCCACATCAGAACTTGAGCCATCACAGTTGCAGTAACAGCAACATGATGTAGACCGGTATGCTACACAGGGACTGGGAGAAACCACATCTACAGATTACTATTCTGTCGACCGGAGCCGTCTCTCCCAAGGAGGGGCGAAAATCTCGATCCCCACCTGCCACCGTATTGGGAATGACCTCCCCGGCCGACCTGGGACAGGCGCCCCCGATCGTGGAATCAATTCTGTTACGCGGCAGGTTCGTATCGTGACGACCCTGGCGTTGGTTACTGACACCGCAGGGGATCGTTCAACCTTGAACGATCGTCCGTCAAAACGTCCGATCGTTCAACATCGACCGATGTTGGTTCGCCGGCGGCATTCAACGGTGAATGACGGCGGCGGGGTCGCCGCCGGTCGAGAAGACGCGAGCCTGCCGTACGTCAGACCTTCCTTCGCCCGCTGAGAGGGGGGATGGCGGGTGCGGATTGGGGGGGGTGCGGATGGGATCGGCTGGGGAAGGCAGGAGAGAGGGAGGGGGGCGGAGGGATGTTCTGCGGCAGCTCATGAGAGACCCCCAATCAAATCTTGCTGGCTTTTGCGAGTCGACGCTGTTCGACGCTTTCCGAATCGACGGTAATCGACGCTAAATCGACGCTAATCGACGCTGAGGCGCATTCTTATCGATTACCAGACGCTAGCGCGCGCTAGTGCTAAAAACAGATTGACGAGGACATGCGAGGTTCCTACGATTTGCTACTGAGGAAATGGGAGAACGAGAGGGCGGACACGATGGAACACACGGGATGGGAAGGCACCAAAGCGCGGCCGATTCGCCCGCGGCCGCACCGGACCCCTTCTGTGACGATCCCCTCGCCTCCTCCACCCCCAGATGTGGGCAGGTGGCCCACGGGTCGTCTGGAGGGTCAGCAGGACTGTCGGAGCAACGCGGGGGATGGGCGTTGCTTCCCTTGGCTTCTGCATGCAGACCCCCGCGTGCTCAACCCACCATTGCTGCCGTGCCCCTGGGGGCTGGCCGGCCGCAGCACCCGAGAGCCGCACGAGCTGCAAGCGGCGGGCTGGCATACACGAGGCCGCCGTGCTCTGGGAACGCATTGACCTCAGACCTCTGGCGGGCGGGGTCCCGAACCGCACCAGCGGCAACTTGCCCCAAACCCCACAGATCCCACTCAGAGCCTAGGGCCTAAAAGCATGCGCGGCCCACGGAGGCCGCAGTGCTCTCGGCCGGTGGGCAGCTGGGACGCAAGAGAACGAGAGCGAAACCGTGCTGACGCGACGGTCGGGGCCGCGTCTGCCAAAGCTTGGATGTGGGATTTCGCACTCACCGTCAGGGCCTGAAGAAAACCGGTGGCCCAGACCTCTTGCACGCATATGCCTAGCATCATGGGCAGCCACAGGCCGCGGGATCTTGTACGCCCCCAGTCCACTGCTGGCTGCAGAAGATGGGCCACCGAAGCTGTCTCTGACGGATGATCATCATCGCCAAGCCTGGTGCAAGTGCACTGGCCATGAGCGATAACACTGGACTGAGAGCACCGACTTCTGGTGGCAGCACTCTGGCTCACGCCGACGCGCAAGGAAGACGTGATGACGCACAACGCCCTCATGCGTTTGATACGCGAGCGGCTCCTGCTGGGACAGATCCCCCTGCACAGTTCTCCGGGGGCGCTCGGGACCAGGCCGCTTAGGCATGTGGAGCGGCAGCCTTCTGATTCAGGACGCTCGGGGCTGGGACTGCCGGGCTCCTCTCAACCCGCAACGGGGCCCCCTGGGCAGGTTGAGGCGTGGCAGAACGCCAGGCGCTGTGCGGCAAGGTTTTTGTGAAATCCTCCCAGGGGCCTCCCGGCTCCCGTGTCGCACGCAGGGGCGCGCGCCTCGCCCCCTCTTTCTGAGGCCCTGTCGGCGCCCAGAAGTCACTGGCGCTCTCCACAGCGTCGGAGATACCCAAGAGGGCTCCTCAAACTGCCGAAGCAGGCGACCAAGGCCGCCAACGTGTGCCAATCTGCTCCATGACAGCCCAAGAGATCTCCAATACTACCAAAGATGGTTCACAGAGAGCCTCCAGCAAGGCCCGAAATGCCAAACTCATTGATGTGGCTTAGGTGGTTGACAGATGTTCGCATTCTCGCCTTTTCGGGCTGCCGACGTCCCAAGAAAAGGCCCCCACGAGTGCCCCAAGATGGCCCGAGAGGGCCCCAACTTCCGCAGAGGCGCCCAAGAATGCACAGGAGGGACCCAAAACGGCCCCAAGAAGGGCCTCAGGAAAGGTGAGCACTTACCAACAATTCAAACCTTCCGCCGCCAGAGGGTCAAAAGAGGGCCCCGAAAGGCAAAAACCATGGTTCATCATCCGTGGCGTTTGAAATGTTGTTTGGGTTCTCGCCTGGTCAAGCTTCCGATGCCCCAAGACGCCACAAAAGGCCCCAACTCTCCCGGGAGACGGTCTGAGAGGCTTCCAAGAGAGCTCCGAGACGGCCCAAGAGGGGTCCAAGACAGCCCCAGGGGCGCCAAAGCCTGTCCACGAGGGCCTCAGGACGGCCCCTAGAAGGGCCCCATGAGCGGGAACACGACCCAGACCCCCTTGCCTTCCCGAGTACAGGATAAGGAGAAGGATGCACGATCAGGATGCAAGGGTTTTGTAAAACCGTACCGACACCTTTCGAGAGCGGCGCGGCCAGCGAAAGTCGCCAAGGATGGGCCTAGGAGGCAAGGGTGCAAGGGAAACTAGCCTTGGAGCATTGCTCATCCTTACGATGCGACCGGACTGCAGTTGCCACCGCGAACGCTGCGCTGATACGGTGGCGGAACTGCCGGGGGCAGCTGGATGACGAAACCTCGGCGCAGGGCCGCTGGGGCTTTTACCAATATCAACCCAAGGGGAAGGCTGCCCCGAAAGCCAACCCCCGGGCCGCGCCACGCCTCTCGCCCGCGACGTGGCCAGGGGCCTTGCCGAGTATTGTGTAACCGATCCCTGTCCCCACTGGCGTGGCCACGACCCCGCCTGCCGAATTACCCTTCTAGATTGGGATGTAGGCTGTTTCCCGCGGGTCTCGAGGGGTACATCCCCAACAGGGGGTGGCGGGGTTGCGAGGATCGGGATGAGGATGGGGATAGGGATCGGTTCAACGATACTGACTTGCCAGAGCATCCGCTCGAGCACGATGCCTAGGACACCGAGTGTGCTGCCACCCTCTCAAAAGTTGGATGCATCATCAACGGACGCGAATGTGTTACGTGTTCGACCATGGACCCGTTGTTACCTCTCGCTGATGGGCCGTCTTCGGCGGTCTTCTGGCGGCCTTCGGCGGATACTAGCGTTGTTCGGCGGTCTTTGGCGCGAAAGCTGAGTGGCTGCGTGCAACAAGAGGTCCATGATCGAACTCGCAGGATGTACAAATGCTAGCTCTGGTTCAAGTCACAGAATCCAGCAGGTGACTCTTCCTACTCTTCCTCGTGGCGACTCCCCGCTCACCGCCCACGAGAGAGCTTCTCGGCTGCCGGCTCCTCGGTAGTATCCGCTCGGATCAGCTCGGCGGGTTCCTCGGTGGTGTCTGCGTGAACCAGTTCGGTGGGCGCCTCGGTGGTGTCGGCTTCCAGCAGTTCGGCGGGGGCCTCGGTGGTGCCGTCGGCACGGAGCAACTGGGCAGGATCCTCGGTGGTGTCGGCTTCGAGCAGCTCGGCGGGGGCCTCGGTGGTGTCGTCGGCACGGAGCAACTGGGCAGGATCCTCGGTGGTGTCGGCTTCGAGCAGCTCGGCGGGGGCCTCGGTGGTGTCGCCCGCACGGAGCAACTGGGCAGGATCCTCGGTGGTGTCGGCTTCGAGCAGTTCGGCGGGGGCCTCGGTGGTGTCGTCGGCACGGAGCAACTGGGCAGGATCCTCGGTGGTGTCGGCTTCGAGCAGCTCGGCGGGGGCCTCGGTGGTGTCGCCCGCACGGAGCAACTGGGCAGGATCCTCGGTGGTGTCGGCTTCGAGCAGTTCGGCGGGGGCCTCGGTGGTGTCGTCCGCACTGAGCAACTGGGCAGGATCCTCGGTGGTGTCGGCTTCGAGGAGTTCGGCAGGGTCCTCGGTGGTGTCCGCAGCATCCTCGGTCGATGGGGGGGCAATGAGAAGCAGGAACAGGAGGACCAGGAGGACTAGGAGGGAGAGAACAACAAGGATAAGCTGGCCGTGACGATGATGCAGTCGCACTGTAGAACCACCTTGTGACTGCGCCGCTGCAGGCTTCTACGTATCAAAATGGATGAGGAAAAGGAAGTGTGAGGAAGAAGTGCCTGCCATGCTGGTTGTTTTGTTCACGTCGTGGGCCACTTGGAGCTCTCAACACCATCTGCGGAACACGTTTCTCGTCGCGGGTCGTTCCTATATCCCCAGGGCCCGAAAATTGCTCCTGGAGGCCGAATTGGAGGCTGAATTCGCGCGCGACGCCTGCAACTCAAACAATGCGAGAAGAAGACGGCTCCGTCCGGGGGGTGCCCGCGCTCGGCTATAGCCCCTCATCTCCTAACCTCCTCCTCACCCTCCTCCTCACCCTCCCGGTGGCCTCCACCACCGGTCACACCCCGCCATCGGGCGTCGAGAAGACTGCACCTTCGCGGCCAGAACTCCCGACCCAGTCTTCAGGTGGGCTCTCTCGGGCAGCATCGCTCTGTGAGGGCCCCCAGACCCGAAGCGGAGCAGCCAAAAGCATCACACACACACACACACGCAATGTTTTGGCCCTCCCCCCCCGCAAGCGCAGGTCACCACGACGCAGCCCGCCTCAGTGTATCACGAATGTGGTGCCACATCGCAGGGAGGCGGTCCCTGCTACGACCCAATGCCCCTTTCCTTCACCCTCCCCCTAACTACTCCCCCTCGTTGGACGCCAGGAATGGGTACGGATCAAATGGGTACAATGTCCAAGCACAAATGTGATCCCAAACCGACAGCGGCCGCTGTTGGGCGGGCCAACCTTCTGTCTCGAATGGGCAACGTCCGCGGCGACGCCAGCAGTCACTCCTGCTCAACATGGGTCGATCTTCGTACACATTACTTTCCGCACCCATTTCGATCGTACCGACCCTCCCTCCCCCCCCCTCCTCCCCCCCCCAGTCCTCTCCCATCTCCCCTCCGCCCTCCTCGCCGACCATCCCCCCTCCCTCCTCCGCCCTCCCTCCCCCCTCCGCCCTCCTCCGCCATCCGCCCTTCTCCGCCCTCCCACCTGATCCTAGCAGGCCTCCCCCCTCGCCCACCCTTGCTCAGTGTGAATACTATTCTCCTCTCCCCCCAGAAGACCCCTATGAGGAAGCGCGGCCCCCTCAGCTTATTGTTTTCACACATGGGATGCCTGCGAATTGGATGTTTCCATGTGTTGTTCGAACCCGAATGTTTTCTGTTCTTTTCTGTTCTTCCCAAGTGTTATTGCTCCCGCTGCAGCGCTGGCCTCATTTTCGGATCGGCGCGTTCCTCCCGTCGTTCAGAATGGCGCTCTTGCCCCAACGCGGGCGATTGTTCTGGATCCGCATGTTTTGTTCGTGATCACCCGATCGCCCCCCGCATTTCCCATCTTCCGCCTCTCCCTGGTCTTCCTGTTCCTCCTGCGCCTTCCACTCCAGATCCTGCTGCTGCTCGTCCTCGTCCTTTTCCGCCCGCTCATCCTACTGCTCACCCGCCACCTTGTCCTCCTGTGCGCGCAATTCCCATTTTCCGATTGCACATAACACGATGTGGTCCGTCTGTTGGAGCTGGGGGTCGGCTATGACGCGCGTCCGCGGACAGGGGCAACAATCAGCACAATGGGAAGGGATGGGAGGAAGGGATATGATGTCAGATGAGGCGCGAGCGCACCCGGCTTGTCTCCGACCCCCCCTCCGCCCTCCTCGCCCCCGCGTTGGCCTCCGCCTTCTCCCCTCCCCGCCCAGGCTGACCTCCTCCCTGGCCCTGCCTCGCCCTCGGTTGTGCGCCAAAGAGGGGAGCCCAGAAGAGGGCAGTGGGGTGCGCAGCTTGAGCCGAGGCATGTGCGCGGACGAGTGGGGACAAGGGCGATGTATGGAAAAACTAAGGACAGCAATGCTACCCAGCGGGGGGGGACTACAAGCAGTGATTCCGTGCATTATGTGCGGCGCAATCCAGGTGGTGCAACCAATGTGGCGCAATCTAGGCGTTGTGCAACCCATGTGGTGGTGCAAAGCACTACAAAGTAATGCACGGCCGTGCATAGCAACGTAATGCGATGCAAAGCAATGCGACGTAATGCAAGGCAATGCAATCCAACACAAAGCAATGCAACGTTGTGCAAAGCAGGGCAAAGCAGCAAAGGCAACTCAAGCAAAGCGAAGCAACGCAGCAAAGCAAAGCAATGCAAAGCATGCGATGCAACGCAACGCAAAGCAACGCAAAACAATGCAACGCAAAACAATGCAATGCGAATGCAGTGTGAATGCAATGCGATTGCAGTGCAAGGGGGGTGCAGCGGGACGGCGGCGACGGGCGGGAACGGGGCCGCCGGGGCCGCAAACAGGCCTTGTATTAGGAAGAATTGTGCGGCGACGGACGGGAACGGGGCAGTTCCCCAGAAGCGAAGCGAGAACCCGTAAGTGCAAATACTGTCTGGGGAGTGACAACAGCAGCAATGCAACGAATAAGGAGAAGAAGGACAAACATTATCCTGGCGAGGGGCCCAATCATATGCAGTTGTGGGTACCGCAATTGTAAATCGGAGGTGAGGGGGTGAGATCGAAGTGGAACGGAGAGCCCCCCTACCGGGAAATCGATTTCGGTTTCGTGTTCGTGCGTGCCGTGCGGGCGGGCGAGGCGAAGCTGCGTTGGCGGGCGAGAAAAAGTCTCCTGTGGCTGAGGCGCGGCCGGACCAAATGTCTCCCTTCCGGGCGGCCGGTGGCCCGCGGTGTCCCGCCGGTGTCCCGCGAAAGTCCCGTGTGGCTGAGGCGCGGCCGGACCAAATGATTCCCTTCGGGGCGGCCGGTGGCCCGCGGTGTCCCGCCGGTGTCCCGCGGTGTCCCGCGGTGTCCCGCGGTGTCCCGCGGTGTCCCGCCGGTGTCCCGCGGTGTCCCGCGAGGATGATGATGATGATGATGATGATGATGATGCTGATGATGATGATGATGATGATGATGATGATGATGATTATGATGAGATGATGATGATGATGATGATGATGATAAAGATGATGATGATGATGATGATGATGATGATGATGAGATGATGATGATGGTGTCCCGATGAAGATGATGATCTTGATGATGATCTCGATGATGATAAAAGTGTCCCGATGAAGAGGATGATGATGCTCATGATGATTATGTTGATGATGATGACAATGATGGTGTCCCGATGATGATGCTGATGATTATGATGATTATGATGATGATGATGATGATGATGATGATGATGATGATTCCGATGATGTTGGTGATGATGATGTTGATGGAAATGGTGTCCAGGCGGTAATGATGTTGATGATGATGATGTTGACGATGATTCTGGTGTCCCGATGATGATGCTGATGATGATGATGATGGTGATGATGATGGTGATGCTGATGGTGTCCCGATGATGATAATAATGATAATGACGATGTTGATGATGATGTTGCTCATGATGATGATGGTGCCCCAATGATGATGATGTTGTTGATGATGATGTCGATGATGATGATGCGATGATCATGATGATGATGGTGTCCCGAGGATGATGACGATGTTGATGATAATGTTGATGATGAGAACGATGGTGATCATGATGGTGTCCCGATTATGATGATGATTATGATGATGCTGCTGATGATGATGACGACGACTGTGTCCCGATGATGATGATGATGATGATGATGATGATGATGATGATGATGATGATGATGATGATGATGATGATGAGATGATGATGGTGATGATGATGATGTTGTCCCGATGATGATGCTGACGTTGATGATGATGTTTATGATGATGATGCTGACGGTGCTCTCATGATGATGACGATGTTGGTGATGATGTTGATGTTGATGATGATGATGATGATGATGATGATGATGATGACGTTGATTGTGAGAGCGATTGTGATATCGATAGTGAGATCGATATTGAGACCGAATGTGAGATCGATTGTGTGATCGATTGTGAGATCGATTGTGAGATCAATTGTGAGATCGATCGAATGAGATAGATCGAGTGAGATCGATTGTGAGATCGATCGAGTGAGATCGATCGAGCGAGACCGATAGTGAGATCGATACTGAGATCGATAGTGAGACCGATCGAGTGAGACGTTGGTTCCCCCCCCCGAACCTCCTTATCACCCGAAGGGTGGTCGTATAGGTATCTTCTTCGGTGAAGCTCCCTATGGGGCCACGCAGCGCTGCGCTGGGTGGGGGGGAACGCATGCGGGCGGTCCCACTGGGGGCTTCGGTGGAGCTCCCTATGGGGGCACGGAACGCTGTACCGGGTGGGTGAGAATGCCATATTGGGTTTCCGGGGCGCACGCGGACGGTCCTACTTGAGGCTTCGGTGGAGCTCCGTATGGGGCCACGACACGCTGTACTGGGTGTGTGAACGTGCCATATTGTGTGTGTGTCTGTGTGTGTGTGTGTCTGTGTGTCTGTGTGTCTGTGTGTCTGTGTGTCTGTGTGTCTGTGTGTGTGTGTGTGTGTGTGTGTGTGTGTGTGTGTGTGTGTGTGTGTGTGTGTGTGTGTGTGTGTGTGTGTGTGTGTGTGTGTGTGTGTGTGTGTGTGTGTGTGTGTGTGTGTGTGTGTGTGTGTGTGTGGGGGGGGGAGACGCCTCCGGACGGTCCCACTGGAAGTTTCGGTGGAGCTCCTTATGGGGCCACGAAGCGCTCTACTGGATGGGTGTAAATGCCAAAGTGGGCTTCTGGGACGAATGAGGGCGGTCCCACTGGGGGCTTCGGTGGAGCTCCCTATGGGGCCACGAAACGCTGCACTGGGTAGGTGAAAATGCCAAATTGGGTGTGCTGGGACGCATGCGGGCGGTCCCACTGGGGGCTTCGGTGAAGCTCCCTATGGGGCCACGGAACGCTGTACCGGGTGGGTGAAAATGCCAAATTGGGTGCGCTGGGACGCATGCGGACGGTCCCACCAGGGGCTTCGGTGGGGCTCCATATGGGGCCACGAAGTTCTACTGGGTGGGTGTAAATGCCAAATTGGGTTTCCCGGATGCATGCGGGCGGTCCCTCTGTGGGCTTCCTTGGAGATCCCTATGGGGCCACGAAGCGCTGTACTGGGTGTATGAAAATGCCATATTGGGTGTGCTGGGACGCAAGCGGGCGGTCCCACCAGGGGCTTCGGTGGAGCTCCCATTTGGGCCACGGAACGCTGTACTGGGTGGGTGAGAATGCCATATTGGGTTTCCGGGGCGCATGCGGACGGTCCCACTGGGGGCTTCGGCGGCGGAGCTCCCTATGGGGCCACGAAGCGCTGTACTGGGTGGGTGAATGCCAAATTCGATTTACGGGATGCATCAGGCGGTCGCACTGGGGGCTCGGTGGAGCTCCTTTGGGGCCACGACGCGCTGTACTGGGTGTGCGAAAATGCCATAATTGGGTGTGCTGGGACGCATGCGGACGGTCCCACCAGGGGCTTCGGTGGGGCTCCCTATGGGGCCACGAAGCGCTGTACTGGGTGTGCGGGACGAATGCGGGCGGTCCCACCCTAAGGGCTTCGGTGGAGCGCCCTATGGGGCCACGACGCGCTGTACTGGGTGTGCGGGACGCATGCGGACGGTAGCACTGGGACCTTCGGTGGGGCTCCCTATGGGGCCACGAATCGCGCTGTACTGGGTGGGTGAAACGCAAGGAGGAGGGAGGACAGGTCCACGAAACGCTGTACTGGGTGTGCGGGACGCATGCAGACGGTAGCACCGGGACCTTCGGTGGGCTCCCTATGGGGCCACGAATCGCTGTACTGGGTGGGTGAAACGCAGCGAGGAGAGAGGAGGGGGAGTAAGGGGAGGAGGAGGAGGAGGAGGAGAAGGGTGAGAACGTGGGGACCGTTATTTTAAAACGAGGACCTAACACCACAGGATGGTTGGGACACCTAACAATAATAATAAGACACAAACGAGTAACACGAAACATAATAATAAGGATAATACGAAGAACAATAAGCAAAACATCCATAATGCATGAGACTATGATTCGTACAACGAATGCCGAGAAAAGAAACACCGACATAAGAGTGATACATACCGTACGATCACATTACCACGAAAAATGCGAGGGGCCAAGAGATCTGGGAGACCTCATGGCCCTGGTCATGGTATCCACCCCCCCATGCAACCATATCTGAACACTATACCCGCGCAGGTCAGATGTCTGAAAATCCGGCTGGGGTTCGGAATTCGAAGGATGTCTGCAGCCAAGTGGACCCCAGCGGGGGTGTCCGATATCCCAGCGTCGATTAGACCCAGACCCCCCAGCCCCCATCCAAAGCCACGCCAACGCTAGGAAAACACCTTTCCTATCGCTAGGTTGGCTGGGAACCACCCCCACCTACAATACCGAAACCTACATCGCCGTTACCAGCATCGCCGTTAGCGCGTCTACGGCCTATCTCTCTTGGACGCCCCCGATCGCCCGATGGCGCTTCGGGCCAGCCTCCCTCGGGGCCGGGGGGCTCTGGGGCACAGGCCCGAGGCGGGCAGGCCATGACTCGACTGGGGCCCTGGACCCTGCTCCTCGTCATCCTTTTTTCCCCCTTCCTCGTCCTCCTCCTTCCTCGTCCTCCCTCCTGCCGCCTCGAGGTACATCTCACAAACTATGAAACGGGACGAGTTCGCACGGCGCGCCCCAGAACGCCCCGCATCGGCGGCACAAGCCCGAGGCCTCTACTATGCACGGCATAGTGAAAAGCTCGATCGGAGCCTCGGCCCCTCATTACCTTTCTGCTGTTTTTGGGGGACCCCATCAATCCGTGACTCGCCCGTCGCATAAGAAACGCGACGCCAAGATCTCAGGGCAGGGAGAGCGACGATCCGAGCCTGCGGCTGTCGGAGGGGGGGGGACGGCCGCTGTGCGCGTTTCCAGGGAGTCGCGAAGAGCCACGGCCGTGCAACGCTCCGATCTGAGAGCCCCCAAGGAAACCTCGCGGATCGGATCGGTGCGGCTCGACTGGTGTCGGATGCTACACGGGAGATGTGGTCGGGAGCTCGGGTGGAGAACAGGCGTCCCCCTCCCCGAGTAGGAAAACCACGTCGTCGTCGTCGTCGTCGTCGTCGAAGCCTTGCTTCATTGTGAAGCAGACAACTGCTCGGCGACTGCTATGAGCAGCAACGCTCTGCGTGCTCGCCAGCCGCGAAAAGAGAGGGCCTACTAGGGAGACCACCTCGCAAAGCCCTCCCTGGGCTCCGGCGAGCACACGACACTCATCGCCCCTATATGTTCCACGGGGCGTCGTCGTCGCCCTCATCCTCCCTACCTCCCTCCCTGTCTCCCTGGGCCGCCAGGGCCTGAGATTCCAGGCTCAGCACATCACTCTCGTCCATCCCCGACTCGGTGACGTTGGCCTCCTGCGCGGGTGGGTGGATGAGTGGGGGACCGTTGGAGCCGAGGACGCATCCCTTTCCTCTTTCGCCTCCTCCATTTCCTTCAACGAAGGAGGATGAGGGCTGAGAGGGACAGGAAAGGGAGAAGGGATAAGGGATGGGATGAGGAGGAGGAGGAGGACGAGGAGGAGGAGGAGGAGGAAAAGGAGGAACTAGCCTGGCGAAGGACCCAACCATATGCAGCTGTGGATGACTCAAATGTGGGCATCGTCTTTGGTGGAACTCCCCATGAGGCCACGAAGCGTGCGAAGGTGTGCCGAAATAGGTGGAAGGGAAGGCACCGGAACATCGCCACTGGGGCTATCGGTGGAACTCCCTGCGAGGCCACGAAACGTGTGGTGTATATATGTGTGTGCCGAAAACATGTGTGCATGTGTGTGTGTACTTGAGATGGTGATTGTGTGTGTGTACGTGTGTGTGTGTGTGTGTATGCGTGTACGTGTGTGTGTGTGTGCGAATGTGAATGTGAATGTGAATGTGTGGATGTGTGGATGTGTGGATGTGTGGATGTGTGGATGTGTGGATGTGTGAGTGTGGGGGGGGGACGCATGCGAATACCGCCACTGGGGTCTTCGCTGGAACTCACTGTGGGGCCACGAACCGAACGGGGGGTGTACCGAAATGGGCGTGGGGGTTACATGCGGACACCACCTCTGGGGCCTTCGGTGGAACAACCCCTAGGTCCACGAAGCGTGTGATGGGTGTACCGAAATGGGCGGGCAAGACGCATGCTGACACCGCCGCCGGGGCCTGCGGTGGAGCCCCGCATAGAGCAACGAAGCGTGTGAGGGGTGTGCCACAATGTTTGGGGTTGGCGAACACCGTCACTGGGGCCGTCGGTGGAGCTCCTCTTCTGGGGCCACGAAGCGTGTGGAAGGGGGCGTGTCCCAAAATGGGCGGAAGGGGCGCGTGCGAACATTGCCTCTGGGGCATTCGGTGGCGTTCCTATTTGGCCACGAAGCGTGTGAAAAGTGTGCCGGCATAGGCGGGTGGGACGCGTGCGAACATTGCCACTGAGGTTTTTGGTGGACCCCTATGTGGCCACGATGCGAGTGAAAGGGTGCACCGAAATGGGAACGGGGAGCGCGTGCGAGCATTGCCACTGGGGCCTTCGGTGGAGCTCCCTATGGGCCCACGAAACCTGCGATGGGTGTGCCAATAAACGGGGTCGGGGGGCGCATGCGAGCAATGCCGCTGGGGCCTCCGGTGGACATCCCTATGGGTCCACGATGCACGTGAGAGGTGTACAAGCATGGGTGAGGGGGGCACATGCTCAAAATACCAATGGGACCCTCGGTAGGGCCATCTATTCGGCCGCGGCACGTGTGAAAAAAACATGTGCCGGAAGGGCGTCGGGAAACGCATGCGAGCATTGCCACTGGGGCCGTCGGTGGACCTCCGTATTGGGCCACGATGCGAATGAGGGGTGTGCCGAAATGGGCACGGGGGACGCACCCGAACACAAACACTCGGGCATTCGGTGGGGCCCCTATGGAACCACACAGCGCCAAAGGGGTGTGCCAGAATGGGCGGGGTGGACGAGTGCGAGCGCTGCCCCATGGAGCCTTCGGTGGGGTTCCTGTGCCGAAGTGGTCGGGGGGCGCACGCAAGCGCTGCAACTGGGACCTTCGGTGACACCCCTTTTACGAGGCCACGACGCGTGTGATGGGAGGCGGAAGGGGGGCGGGAGGTGGGAGGGGCAGGGAAAAGGATTGTGGCGTTGAGCTTTCTCAAAACGAGGACCCAACACGACAGGATGGGTGGGGCAGCAGAAAAACAATGATGGTGACGAGCAAAAAAAGACGCGTGAGGGAGGAGGAGGAGCACGAGGACTGAGGAGGATGAGGACTCGAACCGCTCGATGGTGGCGGTGGCCGCAGAGCGTTCTTTGAGGCACTGTGTTCCCGCTGATGTCAAAACTCCGGAAGGCCCTCCTCACAGCAATCATCTTGGGGGCTCCCTGATTGCAGCGCAGGGTCGAGAGGCCTGCGCGTGCAGACGTCATTTCGGAGACGCAGAGGGCGCGACAAGGCACAGCGGTAACGGGGGGCGGCGGCAGCGAACGACGGAAGGGGGAGAGGTCGGCTAGCCAGACCGAATGCGATTCAAAGGGGGAGCAGCATGCACAAGGACAGTAAACGAAGCGAAGGCCCCGTTCAGAACCCGAGCGATAATTTAACACACATCGCAACTGAAGCATAGACTTGCCTCGATATGCCCGTACTTTTCCCTCGAACTCTATTACGACCTCGGCATTTGGGGCGAGCCAGCGGGTCCTACCCATCCTACAACTGCACCCGTCCACGCCCAGATATCGATACTCGGGAGGCCAGCTGCGGCCTATTCGGGGGGGGGGGGGGATATGGGGAGGCTCAGATGAGGGAGGTATGGGGCGTGAGCTCATTGACCACTACTGTGGCGGGTTCCCTTCAGCATTTTCTTCAACGCATTCTAGCAGCGCCTCTCTTGGGTGGTCTTGGGGGGTGGTCCCAACTTGGGCGTGCTGCCCATGGCCGTGAAAAGCGCAATGACACTTGATTTCGTCGATCTGCGCCGTCACTTGCTGGATGAGCGCCTCAACCGACTTCTGATGCTCCACGAAGTGCGGATTCTGACGCAAGGCCTCCTGGGTCGCGATCACTCCGAGGCCGTGGTCCACGGGCTTCTCCGCGAGGCGTCGGCGCACACCTGGTGGGGGGAGGAGGAGGGGGAGGAGGAGGAGCAGGAGGAGGAGGAGAGGATGTGGCCCTGGATCGAGTAGCAGCAACTCAGCGGGCCAGATCCTGCGGAGTGGAGCGGAGACATCCGCCCCCATTTTGCACTCGCGAATACGTCCACCTTTTCCTCCCAGCCGCCAAGAGGCCTTGGGGGCCAGCCTGGCAGATGCGCCAGTGCACCCGGAGAGCCCGAGAGCGCGTCTTGCTCAGGCTCGCCAAGGCGTCGAATCTAGTCAACGAACAACACGGCAGCTGATGTCGAAAGAGTGGTGGGAATGCTTGAGGTGCCGTACCACGTTACCAGTGACTCAGTGGAAGTGCAGCTGCGGCCGGGAGTGGCGCATGCCGCGAGCCAGGTCGCAGAGTCGCTGTCAGACCACCCCGCCCAGCAAGGGGCACAAGCAGCAGCGCCAAATGATGCAGAAGATCACCGGCGAAGTGACGTCATCGCCGCCAGCGGAAGCACAATAACAGTCGTCATGGGTCGCACCGCCAGCCGACGCATACGACATGGCAGAGTTCAAGAAAGACGCGCAGGACTGTGCGCATAAGTTAGCAGCGATCGTCGTTATGAAGCAGGAGGTAGGCAGACCCGCAGACGAGGAGAAGACAGGGGCGTCGGGGGCAACTGGGACGCGCGGTCGTTCGGCGCAAGCTGAGCGGCCACGGGCAGGCGCGCGAGTGCCCCGCCCCCCTTGCGCCCCTCCGGAGGGCCGGGGCCGCGCGCTGCGCGGCGTCAATGCAGAGCCGCTCAGCGGCAATCAGAGGCGGCCCCTGCCTCCACGATGGGGCAGGGGCGCGCGCGGACGAGGGCTTTGCCTTGTCGCCGGCGGCCAGGAGACCCTGCCGTTGAGACTCCAACTTTGGATCCTGGGCCCGCTGGGGGAGTGGCCGCGCAACGCGCCGGGCTCCTTTGCGCGCGGGGCTCCTCGACGCTTCGCGCCTTCCTCCCTGCGCCCCAACCTACTCTGGATGCGCGGCGCTCTTCCGACGGGGGGCGCCCCGTGTTGCGAGGGGTTCGGTTCGTCGCCGTCTTCTTCTCTGGGGGGCTCGCCCAAAGCTGGTGCGTATAGCTTAAATCCCGCTGGCACCGAAGAGCGCCCCTCACGTGACCTCTCAGCGTGACAACTACTGTCCCTGACTGCGGTTGGCGGCTCGGCCGCCGCCGTCGTCTCGGGGGGGGCTTTTTCCCCCCCTGGCACTCAGACGGGGGCAAGGGCCAGTGCGGCGGCCAGTAGTCTCCCCCATCGGCTGCTGGTCGCCCTGCCTGGCTTTGTTTTTGACTCCAGCTAGGCTGTGCGTGGCCGGATTCTTCCCCGCCTTTAACTACTTCATCGTCCTTCGCGCGAGGGCGGCTAGGCGGCGTGCAGCCTGCTCGCCTTGAACACCTAGCTACGAGGAGAAGACACATATTGCCGTCCTCTATCATGCCCTTTTCAGCACCAAGCCGATAGCGCCTCAGATCCTCGGCCCCCGCACGGGACTGGAGAAGATAGTCGAGCAGGTCGGCGTCGAGAAGCAGAGCATGGCCACCCTCCAGGAAGAAAGCGAGGAGCAGCTCAGCGAGAAAGCGGAGCTCGAGCTGCTCATCGAGGGCATGGAGGAGGAGAGGGAGCGGGTCGAAGCCACAGCCGCCGCTGGCGGTGGCCCCCAGGCGGAGGCGGCGGCGCTCCGATGACACATGTTCGCTGTCCGCCACGCGCCGTGCCCCATCGGGGCCAGATAGCAGCGCAGATGGCGGCCGTGCAGGTCGCGCAGCACACGACGTGCACAGCGCTGACGGCGATCTTGAAGGCGCTGCGAGGCCACGGGGCCCAACTCGACACGGCCGCGGCGACGGAGATCGCGCCGGCGGCAGCAGCGTCCTCGGAGACCAGGCCGACCAGCCCAATCGCAGGAGTTCGACAGAGCACTTCCGCAAGCGGCCAACGTCCAAAAGGAAAGGCTCCAGAGGAAGGCGAGGAGTGCTGAATCTGTCACCACGAGAAGAGAGCGCGCGTTGACGTCGGTCCAGAAACCATCCAAGAAGGCGAAGCACCCTCAGAAACTGGATATGGTCGACGATTGCGAGAGTGAGCGCCGAGGCCAAACTACAGCGCCTGCATCGACGAGCCCGTCTACGCCGATTTCTGAGGCTCCCATTCCGCTTGCAGGATCAGGTGGCCCCAGTGTGGCTTCAGACGTTTTCGCATCTCCAGTGACGCCAGGTCACGAGCAGCATTGCAAGCAGGTGCCCAAGTTGGGTGTGCGAGCGCCCATTCCATTAGAACGTTGTCTAGATCATTCCCGAGAGACAGCCACTTGTAGCATCACTGGGGCTAACATAATGATGCGCGCCATTCACGCCAACGGGGTGGGCTTTGATCTTGCTGGCGGTGCGCAGCATGTAGCATTTGTAGCAGCAGATGGATGAGACTGCGGATGCGCTGCACATCCACACTGACGGATCTTTGCCTGCCGACCCGCAGATGGCAAGCTGGGCATTGGTCGTCGCAGCACGCACCAGCGACGGTGTAAGTTTCGGAGGAGGAGCTGCAGGCCGCTTGGCTGAAACCGGCGCGATTGAGCTCTCATGGCCGTTGGAAAGCAGCACGACAGCAGAGCATCATGCAATTTGTTGGGCCACGGTATGGATCTCGGGGGTTGCTATGCCCAAGAAAGAAAGATTCGCCTGACACGCCCCAGAGGTTGTTGCATGGAGCGACTCGCTCTCAGGTCTGGAGATCATGACCGGGGAGCTCGCGCCCAACAACCAACAGCGACTCGCGCGTCTCTCCCGGTGTCTTTACGGCCAGGCCGGAAGGCGAACAAAGGTTCGAGCGAACTATGTCCGAGGTCACGCGAATAAGCCCTGGAGCGAAGTTGCCGAGGCCCTCGCTGAGTGCGCTGATAGCGGCAGCACGCATTTTATCGGGGCGCCGCCGCAGGATATCAACGCAGAGTTGTATGCCGAGGCCGCCTTGGAATGGGCATGGCGAGCCAAAGCGTGCGCGGCCAGCTTCATATTTCGATGCCTTGACGGGTGCAGACCATATAGATACCCACAAGCGAAGCGGGCAATGAATCCGTGCAAAGATGCATCTGCTCGAAGCGAATACAGCCGGGGTGCGCGCAGCCCGCGCGCCAGCAAGTTCCAACAGCGTCCAAGCCCCGTCATATACCAATAACTCCTCCAGCGTCGATCTGTTCGAGCCAGACCCACCCTCCAGGATCGAAAAAATCGATGCTGGAATAAGTCTGGGCAATTTGCCACGTCAGCGCTCCGCGCTGGCAGACGACCACTGCCGCGGGCCACGCTCCGCGCCCGTGCGCGGGGGCGGACGGGGGAAAGCGCGCAGCGGTGGGGCGAGCTTGCGAATTGCACCCGGAAGCCGCTGGATGCCGATGGCCGCGTGGGCCGCGAGGCATCCGATCGGATAGGGGATAAAGGATGGAAGAAACCGCGAGATTCGGAGAGAGAGACAGGCTGCGCGAATGCGTGCTCCAAACCCCCCTCTGTGCACTCACCGCCCTTCCCCCCTCGACCAAGGGCGGGCGTGCGTTCGTTGGGCCCGGCGACGAAAGACACCGGCTTGAACGTGCGCTTTGCCCGCTTAACGATTTGCAATGCGTCGAACAGCATGGGGCCGACCGCAGTTTCGACGCAGGACGCTGAGAGGGGCGACGCGTTCGCCGGCATGAGAGCGCATATACCACGCATGCATCGCAGCATGAGGGTTCACGAGTATTACCACCTGCTGCAACTGCATGGCATGAAGCAACAAGCCAATGTTTTGCTGCCGAGGCAACAGAGCCGATCCACCCGTATATTTCTGCCCCCGCTCTAGCTGTCCGAGTCGCGCCGAGGGCGTGTGCCGACCGGGGTGCCCGACCTCTCCCCGCCTACCTCACTGCGCATTCAGTCATCGCGCTCATCGCCGCCAGAGTCCGAGACCGTTTGCAGAGAAATCCCCCTCCTGATTGAGGCCAGTGATGGCCGAGACAGATGGCTGAGAAGTTGGCTGCTTGTTTGAAAACCACGCGCGCACTTGCGCGCGGGCGCAATCGCCAAGACCGCCCCACTTTGCGGCAAGAAGTCGGCGAAGAACTCAAAAGGCGAACTTGCCAACCACTTGTGTCGGAAAGAATGTGGGCAAGGTCGCAAACTCAAAATTGGGGATAGTTCGCCCAGTTTGGCTTGCCGATGCACACCGACCCTCCGGGCCCGAATTGTCCATGGTAGACCGGTCGCCGAAAGCAAATCAGATTTGTTTGCGCGCGCCGAGCTTGCGTCAGTAGGGGCCAAACAACAACTGCAACAACGATGCAACGCAGGTGTTGCTGTTGCGCCGCTACCGCTCGATCCGGATGTCAAGCGCATCGGGTCTCGCAGCCATATTGCGCGAAGTTCCAGGAAATCCAAGACGGAACAAGCAGTGGGCCCAGACAAGCTCGGAGACGGGATTTTGAAATGAGCTGCTGATCAGGCTGCTGAGCATTGGCGCCTATTGACTGTTAAGATGCAGCTTGGCGGAGTAGAGCCATAAGACATGAAATAAGGGTGGGAAGTCGCCCTTCCCTAGCCAGGCCTGGGCAATATAAATCTAAACCAATTGCAAGAGATTCGAATCGCTAATCACGTAACTAACCATCGCTTTAAGTTTCTCCGCCCCCGCCTCGCCAAGTTAGCAGCTCAGCTTCTGGGTGGTTAACTAGGCGGAGGAATGTCGCAGAAACGGTGCGGACTCATCATCCCGCACGACGCGCGCGTTTAATTATTTGCGCATACATGCGATGATCACAGGCATCGCATTCTCCTCGGAGCTCAAATCGACATTCCACGCTGCGCACCGCCAATTGCTGGCTGCTCCCGCTGCCCGGCACCGAGGCGGAGCTAGCAGCGGCGATCCACGCCGTCGACCTCTCGCCGTCGCCCGGGCGAGCGCGAGCGCGGTTGCACTTGGACGGCCCATTTTTTGGGCGCGCTAGACGATGGTCGCGGCAATCCCACCCCCCCATAATTTTAAGCAACAGGCGGTGGCAAATCAATCCGATGCAAGCCTCGGGGCCGGGGGGGCCGAAAATATGTCGCATGTCACTGCTGGCGCGAGACCAGGAT